GCCAGTGTCTTAGCCCAGCCCTTAGTTTGGGTTGGTTATTTGCTTGTTTTTTTTAAATTTAGTTTAAAAAAAACACAGCAGAATACTCCTTTCTGATAAACTTTCTGTCCATGTGGCACTGAAATATGTGCATGGTCCTGCCTGGTCCTCTTTGCCTGCTGACTAGGCCTGCCAACAACTTATTCAATTGATGGCATTCCGTTGCTTAGGGCAGTCTCTAGGCTGTGTAAGTGTCTGACCACTGCCACTTTGTGTGAGTAGTGCTTTGTCTCCTTCCATACACCAGCTGTAGTCTGATGAATTTCTCATACAACTTTTCGTTTCCTAAATGATGGCTCTTGGGATCACCACTTTTGACTATGAGATTTAGACATCAGAAGTGATCTTGTTCCATACAGTGCTCGCACACTGATTCCCTCTCCTGACAGCATGCCTGGGCTAGGAGGAGAGGTATTCAATTAGTAAGTGTTTTCAGGATAGCTCTGCATATAATCCTCAACTGGAGCTGAAGAAAACTTCAGAAAAATATAACTCCCTGCTTGTTGCATCATGAGTTATGAGGTGTGAGTCTCAGGGCCATATGTCAACTAGACTGTCTTCTGCAGCCAGTCTTTCTTGCCCCAGCCAGTCTTTCTCTCCCCTCATGTCTTGCTGCTCAAAGGATCTGCAGTATAAAGGAGTGTAGGATCTAGAAATACTTGCGCAAAGGAGGCAGAATGATTCCACGCGATTGTTACATATGTAGCTCACTCAGATATGAAGTCTTGTCATTCTTTGTTTTGCACTAGGAAGATGAAGGATCTGAGACAACCTGTATTTTTCAATTCATCGCCATTTGTGTTCCTGCAGTCTACATGGCTTTGTATTACTGCATTCCATGATCTCATTGCTTACTATACTGAACTCAGGCTCCTAGCTGCTGGCATTAAGCCTTCCTATTCACCATACATTCACAGTCATTTAGCTGCTAATCCTTTATGACTTACTGCATCTTACAGGCGAGTAGAACCAATGTAAATTTTTTTCTCCTTTTAGAAATGAACAAGTCCATTTCCACCTGTGGAAGGTGACTTCTGAAAGTGTCTAAGAATTTGCAGCCCTACATGAGGCCAGCAACTGCTCTTTTGTTAACAGTCAGGTAGAACATTTTTCTGAGTGGCTATGAAGACGAAGCTGCAGTTAGCATAAGCAGAAATGCGATTGTGAAAACACCTGAAGGAACCATAATGGAAATTAAAGCAAGTTTTTCTGTCCAAAATCTCTGCCTGAGATGCAATTCCTCTTCCCTCTGTTCTTTCAATATGGAATATGAACCACTATGTTTATACCTGCCATCTTTCACATTTGTGTTAAATTCCACAAAAGGTTGGTATGTTACTTAACCTGGCTACTGTTTATATGAAGGCCAGTCAAAAGACACATCTAGGGAAGACTTTTTCAGACTGCATTGTAAACTAAAGTAAATTTACATCCCACTGCTATTCCATTATCCTATCAGCACTTTGTTGAAGCAGACTATGAAGTAGCTCATCCCTTAGTATAGTGTTCAGATGCAGTTTTAGAATCAAGTTTGATTATTAAGGTTATTTTCATAACCTTACATCTCAGTGAAAAATGACTGCCTATTATGTTGGGAGTTGAGCTGAAGGCCTATGGTGCCTTTGAGTCTTAGTGCTACTGAGGTGTGTATGATCACCAGGGACAAGGTATTTCAGGTCATGTAATCCATGTATTTAGTTATTGCTCTCAGAATCACTGTGAAAATGGTGCCAAGCTGATGATTGTATGTTAACTTGTTTTATTTCCCAGAGCACACAGACTAATAAGCTGGGAATGTTTTTCAGCAGAACCGAAAATGTTCTTTATATAGATGTATATGTATTACTAGCAGCCTACAGTTGCAGTGGAATTTGGGATTTTAATAGAAAAGGAGAAGTGAACAGTGAGATAAGAAATCTCGTATACTTGTAATGGGCTATTAGCCCAGCTCATGAAAAAGACATGTATTTTTGTCCCCAAAATTTACAGCAGTGAATGAATATTTTTCATACTAAGGAAGACAGCAGATTGAGGTTTTTGGTTTTTTTCTTCCCCATCAAGTGCAGCTCTGTATTGTTTCTGCTTCTTTCTGTAAGGCATTATTATATTTATAGAAAACATTTGCAAGGCCAGACTTCAATGTCCCATTCAACGGACTGTCAGGCAGTGAGTTCAGTTCTGATGTCTTCTTGAAGTCAGCAGTCTCAGGGATTCTGTACCTCAAATGCCTGGCAGAGGGCCTTTCCCTCCCTCCCCTCCTCTCCTCTCCCTCCTCACAACCCCTGCCCCAACAAACTAATGCCAGGAGCATCCATGACCTTGCTCCCCTTCTGCAGCATTAAGAACAAACTTGCTATCTCCCTCTTCCTCCTCCACCTTTGCACAAAACAGGAGGCGGCCAGCTAGGGCACCCCCTGCAAACCAGCTGGAGCTACAGTGTTCTTCCCTAAGCAACTCCTGATCTACATACAAAGGTCTTGGGAATAATGACCTACTTGACAGAGGATATAAATATTCTTTCCAGCATCCAATTAGCTTAGCCTGCAGTAAACAGGATGTGGATAGGCAGAACAAATTGTTCTTTCTGCTTAAAAAACTAAATGACAGAAACATAGCTGAATGTTTACAGCCTGATTAACTGGGTCTAATTCTCTCTCTGTCTGTCTCTTTCCCCCATGTTTCTGCCTGTAATGTTAAACAGATGTGGAAGTGCAGTAATTCCATGGAAGCCCTTGGCTCCACAGTAGTAGCAGAGAGAAGACTCTGGTGACAGATGGCATAAGCCAAAAAATTATGACTTTGCTTCTGTTATCTAGGTGAAGATGTGCTGTTTACTCTGTGTCATTGGTATAGGATGAAACTACTGAGCAGACCTGAATGAAGCTTTATGGGTTTTGATTTGCAGGGGTGAACATAAGCCATTTTCTCTTGGCAATTTCATGCATTTTTCAGTGCAGTCTCGGGTTAAGGTTCATATTCAGTATACTTCCAGAGCTCAGTCCAAATCACTGCACTTCAAATGATCTGGAATGATGCATGGCAAACATCTGAAACAGAGTTATTTTAAGAAACAGAATATTGCTTTATGAGTAATGGAGAACATGATAGGATAAAATCTCTTCTTTTTCCCATCTCAGTTAGCCTTCAAGACAAGGCAAATTGGAGGGGCAACAGGATTTATAGAACAATTGGAGACTAATGTTTGCTCTTACTTGAAGGAGGAGAGAATAAACTCTGTCCCAGACCACTTATTCAAGATTATTTTTGTGGGCAATTCGAGTGTTGGAAAGACTTCATTCTTAAGGCGATTTTGTGAAGATCGTTTTTTCCCAGGCACAGCTGCTACTATAGGTAAGTTTAAGAAACATTATTACTATTATTATTTTTGTCCCAACAGTATTTAGCAGCTTCTACTGAGATCAGGCCCCGTGTTATAAAACAGAAACAGAGATGTTGTAAAAGCCATTAACCAAAAGGAGAGTAGGACATGCAAAGTGAGTTCTCCTAAACTGGGAAGCAGATAATTGATGGAGAGGTTTCAGAGTAGATTCCATACTGAAATCCTGGCAGCACTGAAATAAATCAGAAAAATCCTATTGATTTCAGTGAAGCTAGAATTTCCTTGTAGATCTCACTGTTCTGAAACTGATATCATGTCCTCTGGACTGCACTGTACTAACCATTCGACTTCCATACCCCATCTCTATACCTTTAAGTAATCTGATTTTGTTTTAAAGAGAAAGTTGAATATCTGAATTATGTTTGAAGATTTAGCATTATACTAAGCATCAAAGAAATATGTTGGACCAGTGTTTTCAAAGCCATACATTTCAAAGCCTACATTGTACTTAAATTTCCTGAAGTTGTAAACCAAACTTTCAAAAGTCAGACACATAATCAAGGTACAAAAACTTAAGTATAGGTTATTGCAATGCAGCTGAGTTACTGTAAATGACCAGATTCATTATACTTAGTCTGTATTTAGGCCTCACTTATTCTGCAGCATATAAGAAATAAAACTTGTTCACAATAAAAGGTATTTAAATTAATGGATTTTTCTTGCATTTGTGACCATCTAAGAACATTCAGGTGAGCAGTTGCTGTAGCTCTCTTGACTTACAGGGTAGATAAAGACACCTGAGTTTAAAGTTCTACTGGTATGTTGAGTGTCTAAGTTCACATTAGAGTCAGGGAAGATCTAAGATCCTAGCAAAGGGATTTAAATTCATTTTGGCACTACAAGGTATTTCACCTGGCCTTCAGCTGCTGCTTTGGAAGAAAGCAGGTCTCCTGGGTGTCCTGCCAGATTGAAACAGACATTCTGAATACCAAATGGCATTTCAGATAGTACTAGGTGCCTGTGAGCAAAGAGGTGAATTCTACCCCAGCATCCTCTCCAAATCAATCCAGTCAGAGAAGCCTAGGGACCAATTAATATGACCCTTTTGATGCCTACTTCAGGGTGAGCTTAGACATTTCATGGATATATCCTCCATCCAGATTTCTTAATTGCCCATTGAAGGAATGTGGGCTTGGATGCTTCTTCATTAATGCCAGTGGTAAAAACCCCATTAATGTGGAAAATCTACTGAGGTCCCTTCCAACCTGAATTATTCTGTGATTCTGTGATTCTATGATACAGTACAGTGTGATACAAGAAAATGCAGGTTGTCATTAGGAGGAGGCAGTGACTGATTAATATTTAAGACTCTAATTATTGTTATAAATATCCAGAAGATACTTATATCATCACAGGTTAGGGGAATTGGGAGAGGATTCATTTAAAAGTTTAGATAAATTAATTTTTGTCTCACTTCCATTTAACCACATAAAAATTAGGGGACTAACCTAACTGTAGTCAGCTCATCTTCTGCATTCTGAAGAGGGAAGGAGGTTCTTCACATATTCAGTCCATCCATCATCAGCATTTATCTTAGGTTCCACTGTCCCTTTAGTGTGGTGCCTTGTGTTTTTCCACTAACTGTAGAAGGTGCCTATGTGGCTAGATCAGACTAAACGCTGAAATTTCAGACAAATGAAGTTATACAGCATGAATTTCAGGCTAAATGGCTTAGACTGCTGTGGACTGTCAAATGGACCCTTGACTCATGTACCCTGATTTGGAAAGTTACTTATCTTACAGCTTTTACAAAATTCAACTACTCTGTTAACATTCAGTATTTTATTACTGAAGAACTTCTGGCAAATAAAAGCTCTTGTTGTTCTTTGATAGTTAGAGACTACGGACATAATTTTTAATGTGATATCTATCTTGTTACCTTTCTGGAATTGTTGCTATTTGCTGGATCAGGTTTTCAAAGATTAAACTGAGCGTATAAAGAGACAACCTACCTTGTATTTCTGTTATAGGTGTGGATTACAATGTGAAAACCATCACAGTAGATAATAGCCAGGTAGCCCTGCAACTCTGGGACACTGCTGGCCAGGAACGGTGAGAAACATTCTGTTGTGGTTTAACCCTGTTAGTCAGCTAAGCACCTCACAGCTGCTCACTCACTCCCCCATCCAGTGAGAGAATCAGAAGGGTGAAAGTGAGAAAACTCTTTGGTTGAAATAAAGACAGTTTAATAGTTAAAAAAAATCACCAAACCCACCAACAACAAAAAAACATTAAAGAGGAAAAGGAACAAAACCAAGAAAAACAAGTCATGCAAAAAAACCCCAGTTGCTCACCACCAACTGATTGATGTCCAGCCAGTCCCTGAGCAACTGCAGCCTCAGCCAACCTCTCTCCCGCCCCCAGTTTTATTGCTGAGCACAACATCATATGGTAGGGAATATCCATTTGGTCAGTTGGGGTCAGCTGTCCCAGCTGTGTCCCCTCCCAGCTTCTCGTGCACCCCCAGCCTACTCATTGGTGGGGTGGAGTGAGAAGCAGAAAAGGCCTTGATGCTGTGTAAACACTGTTGAGCAGTAACTAAAATGGTGTTACCAATACTGTTTTCATCACAAATCCAAAACATAGCCCCGTACAAGCTAGTACGACGAAATTTAACTCTATCCCAGCTAAACCAGTACACATTCTAAGGTTTTGCTTCCTTGAATCATTTGTTTGAAGATTAGTAAGCATGGACCTAATCCTGCTTCTCTGGAGAGGAACAAATGAAGGAGTATTCCTAATAGAGCCAGTGAATTCACAGTTTAGACCTTCCCTAGCAGCAATAACGTGCTGATTTGGTGTTACATGTCCATTGAAAAACTGCCAATCTGTAAAAGAGATTCTTGTTAAAGCTCTTAAAAGTTCAGTACCACACAATTTCTTTAGGAGGAAGGCTGATTTTAAAATTCACCTAGAATTATTTCTATAGCAGAAAATGCCTTAATAGTTTTAAAAAAATAGGGTTTTCTTCACCAAAACAATCCCATTATAATTGAAGATCTCCAAGTTTTATAAGTTTTCGGTGGTAATTTCCTTCCCCATCTCCTCACTTATGTGTAGTTTTTTATTAGTAAAAGCAAGGATGATAATGATGATCTACGTTTTCTACAGGAAGCTTGGGAAAAAAGCCCCAAACAGAAATCTGGCTAGCTTTAGGCAGAGCACTTTATGAGGGGGAAATTTCTGCTCCAAGCTTAAAATGAAAGAGAATGGGAGAAGATGAGATATGCAGCTGATGATCCAGACTAACGCAGAATCAATTAAAAAAGGCAGAGGGAACTTTTCCAAACACTTTCTTTCAAAAAAATTATTTTTGCTAAGAATTATTTGCTGTTGCAGTAATTTGTGGTAGTAGTGTCCTCCGTGAATCTTCTGATTGTGAAAAGGGGTCTGATGATTCAGGAAGAACAGGATTGCTTACTACAATTCATAATAAGCCTCACCTTTCAAACAGGATCTGCAGTGAAGATCAGTATTACAGCTTCTCCCTCGTCTAGTTTATGGAATTTTAGAATATATATGTAAACCAAATTAACAGGGGTTTAACCCTTACTAAGATTAGATGATTAGAAGAAACAGTATGGCAACATCTTCCTTTGGGGGGAGGGGATTACTATAAAATTTTACTTATATTGTCAGATTGCTACTTCTGTTGAAGAGAGCTATAAACAGGTTCTTACTTGTAGGTACCGAAGTATTACCAAGCAGTTTTTCAGAAAAGCTGATGGTGTCATTGTGATGTATGATATAACAGCAAAAGACACATTCACAGCTGTCAAGCAGTGGCTGATAAGCATCGAGGTAACATCACATAACTTTAAACCTAAACTCTGGTGTCATTATTCTCTGCCTTCTTCTGGACAGGGAGTGTTAGCAGGGCAAAGCACAGAGCATAGCATGTTTCTTGTGTTGTCACAGTCACATATTTGTTAGTGATTTTGGTCTGCACAGTTACCAGTAAAGCTGGTTTTAGTATTTCTGTATCTATGAAAATAACCACAGTTCCAGGGTTTTAAGGACTTAAAATGAGTGGTGAGGAAAGCCCAGCATGGAGTCCTCTGATTCCTCACAAAGGTTATCTACCTGATGACTCCCATTGGATCACCACTAGCACTGGGAGGTGCTTTGGATCAGTGATGATGGTCTGATGATCACTGATCATCACTAGCAGTTTGACAACCAAGGAAGTAGCTCACGGCAAATTGACTGTTGTGAACATAAGCCATAAGCTTAAAGCTATAGTATCTACATTAGTGCTATAAAACTGTCTTGTGATAGACAGTTCAGTTTCCTGGGGATCATCCGTTCAACCACATGAAAACAAAATCATAGCCCATGCCACTGAGTGGCTTCAGTTAATTAAAAATTCTCTTTTTTTCTCTTGCTTTATCTCTGTAGCTCATAGACAACATATTGAGAGTGCAAGCAGCTGAATTTACTTGTGGCCAAAAGAAAAAATAAAAATAAAACAGGCTGCTGCCATAAAGGACTGAGTAGCTAGAGAGAGCAAAGCGTGACTTCCTATTTGCTCACTATTGCAGAGTATTGCTACTGAAAAAGCAGGGGACAAATAGGTATGCGAAGGTCATTTAGTCTGATTTTATTGGGCATGTATATTACACTGTTTTCCGTAATGGCCAATAGGTGGCTTTGCAAGTTGAAATTAGGACTCATTGATTCAAATGTTTCCAAACAGGCATAGTTATTACTTGTTTGAGTAGTTCTACTGAAGTAATAGTAGCATGCATTTTGTAAGAACAGGCCCTTATTAAATATATGATCTTAACAAATCAGTGATTGTTATAATTCCATATGGTAAAAGCTAGAGAAGAATTCCAGGTTTTGATCCAGAAAAATCAGATGTTGTGGTCAAAATCTTTTTCCAAGCTGTAATAGTTCACTCATCTTTACTGACTAATTTTGTTTGCTACAAACCATTGCTAAGTTGAAGACATACGGCCAAGTCCATTCATTGCTGCAACATTCAGCCTACTTTATGAATGTACTCATTGTAATAATTCTAACCATTTTCAGAATGAATTTTGATTTGTGCCTATTCTATGTATTTTTGGGGGCCTATCCTGTGTATCTCTCCACTACTTTAAGTAATTTATTTGGCATAATTGTACCCAGATGTTGTCATTATTTTCCTGTCCATGTAATTAGAAAAGCAGTGGCTATAAACACACAACGTCAGAGCCTGTGTAGCATGGTAGTTTTCTCTTTCCCATTTTAATATAAAGTCTGATGAGCTTCTGTGCTGTTATTAAAAAATGCCAAGATACTACAATCTCTAGCATTCTGTCTTTTTCATACCTTTTATCCAACTTTAATTCCTGACATGTTTGTAAGTAAAGTGGCACATACATGGCTCATATGTGATGTCTTAAATGTCTTGTTGCAGTGTGACATTTGTTAGTTTTTATCCTCTTGATTTGTGATTTTTTAAATACAATGCCTCAGTTGATATTTATTCTTTGTTCTGCAGGAGACAACTGGGGAGAATGTACCTGTGCTTTTGTTGGGTAATAAAACTGATAATGAAAAGGAACGTGAGGTCCCTATGGGAATGGGAGAGCATCTGGCTAAGGTACTATACTTAGAGGGTAACCCCTTACAAAACTTGAAGGTGAAGGTTTTAAAATGGAGTCTGAATGTGTCTAAATTCATAGAAACGCAGATTAATTTTAATCAGACAAGTATTTTTAAGGATTAGGAACCCCATCACACTTAACCAGTTCAGGTCTCAGTGATGTAAGTACTGATAATTATAGTAGTTAAAAAACTGTCTAGATGAAAAAAACAAAAAGTGAGTGGTGCAAAAAATATTTAAGAATTCACTCACATTGTCTCTCCTCTCTCTCCCCTTTCTCCCCTTTCTCTCTTTTCCTTTGTTCTCTCTGTCTCTCTTTCCCCCCTCCTTTTTCTTTTTCTCTCTCTTTTTTCTCTCTTTTCTCTGTGGATGGATTCTTAACAGATAATTTGGGGACCTTTTCTCCCGCCTACCTCCTGTAAAACCACAGAAGACCATCTGTTACTCTGATGGTAGGAGCAGAATACATGTTTACTTTTAGTAACTTTTCCATCAAGGAGATAAAATAAGTAGAGTTAACAGTCTGCATCTTCCAGAGCACTGGTGATCCATGGACCATAATTTAAGCATTAAGGGACTGCAAATAGCAAATACTTGTTTATATTCCTGTGTACCATGCCCATCAGTTTTTCTTTTGAATCTCTCTATAGAATGCATACAGTTTGAACACCAATGCTTCCAGAATATTCATTTATTTAGAAATAAGTTATCCCAATATTCCTGAGAAATTAACTGAGTTGGTAGGAATTTACCTAAATTAAACAGTGTGCTGGATTTCACGTATGTACTTGTTTCTCCTTTGAAAACAGATTTACAGCTCTGCTTGCTGGTAACCAAAAAGGATATTTTCAGAATTTAAAATGCAGCTGAATTGTTCTTGGTTTACAGGAAAGATTGCTCCTAGGCACCTCTCTATAACTGAAAGTATTAGGGCCAGATCTCTTTTTATCTTATTTTGATTATTCATACAGCCTTTTACAAGCATACCTCCGTATTCAGGTTTGTGTCCATTATTTTGTTTTTATAGGGGAGCAATATCAGCCTTGAACTTCATCCCTCAGAGGTTCTCCCTTTAGGAAATCCGCTTTATTTCTTGTATGCATGGAAATGCAGATAGTTTTGAGACCCCGGAGGCTAGGAGGGACTCCAGGGTGTAACACTGAATCCTTCTGTGAAAAAACAAATGACACATAAATGCTAAATGGACAGAGTAGGTGTCTTACATGTCATTTAGCTCTCTTAAAAAATTGTACTAGTAAAACAAAGATGAATCATTCTAATATATAGAACTCACAGCCCACCAGGCCATTAATTCTAACATGTCATGCAAGAAAATAAAATGTTTTGCATAAGTAAAACAAAGAAATTTGTCAAATTAAAGATGGTTATAGTCAAATGAATGGATCTGAATGACTCATTTGAATGTTTGAATGTGCTGCCTGAGGTAGCTAAGGGAAGGAATGATTAATGACAATGGATTAGTTGAAAAGCAGTGTAGATATAATTAAATTATAACAATTTTCTTGCTGAGCTAATAATAACCATGAATTTTAATTAAATATTAATTCTTGCTAAATAGCCATGTAATTCTTATGAAACCACATACCACTGCCTCTATTAGTGAATGCAATTGAGTTACTTATTTTGTGAATAATCCCATGAATTATTCACAAATGACCCAAAATACACAGGACTAGATGCTGAGCTGATCCAAATATGTGTAGCCATATTTGGTGAAAACAACTCTGAACCTGTTCTCTTGCAGACAAAGAACCAGATTAGCCTGTTGACCCTGAAGTCCAACAGTTTTTATGAACTGTTTCAAGGTCTCACAGGATGGGATCATATTTTTCTAGTTTTTTCTATAGTCAGAGAGAAACGTGTACTTTCAAAGGACATTCCAGCCCAGCTGTATTAACTCTTGCTTTGCTTCAGTCCCATATCTTACAAGTCAGTGTACTAAAATTCGGTCAGAAACCCAAGGGCTCCCATTATAATGCACGTGTCACATAACTTCTTTGCAAGGCAGGCAGCACAATTCATTATTAAAAGGAAGAATGGCAGCATGAAGGGAGTCCTTTCAATTCCTTGTCATTTGAGAAGACTGGTAGTTGCCGTGTGTGTGTGATACCCCGGGAAAGGGCGAATAGAATGAGGAAAGGGATTCTGGAAGGCATCATAGGGAACAACAAGGCTGTGATGAAGCTGATCTGTAGCTGGAGGAATTAAAGAGTAAACATCATGATGGTATTTCAGAAATAGTGTGGCCAGCAGGAGCAGGGAAGTGATAGTGCCCCTGTACTCGGCACTGGTGCGGCCGCACCTCAAATACTGTGTTCAGTTTTGGGCCCCTCACTACAAGAAGGATGTTGAGATGTTGGAACGTGTCCAGAGAAGGGCAACGAGGCTGGTGAGGGGTCTGGAGAACAAGCCTTATGAGGAGCGGCTGAGGGAGCTGGGGTTGTTTAGCCTGGAGAAAAGGAGGCTGAGGGGAGACCTCATTGCTCTCTACAACTACCTAAAAGGAGGTTGTAGCAAGGTGGGTGTCGGTCTCTTCTCCCAAGTAACTGGCGAAAGGACGAGAGGAAATGGCCTCAAGTTGCGCCAGGGGAGGTTTAGATTGGATGTAAGGAAAAATTTCTTTACTGAAAGAGTAGTTAAACATTGGAACAGGCTGCCCAGGGAAGTGGTTGAGTCACCATCCCTGGAAGTATTTAAAAGACGGGTAGATGAGGCGCTTAGGGACATGGTTTAGTGGGTATGGTGTTGTTGGGTTGACGGTTGGACTCGATGGTCTTGGAGGTCTCTTCCAACCTTTAATGATTCTATGATTCTATGATTCTAAGGAGAATTTTGCAGTATTGACATTGCAGGGAGAAACAGCAGACACAAAACAAAATGTTCACATGCAGTACAAGAATGACCTGATGGAAAACATCTAAAACTCTCTTGATAGAGCTACTGGGAGTATAAAGAAAAAAGAAAAGGGTGAGAAAAAAAAGGCAAGTCTGTTTGACTTTTTTAGCAGAGGATCCAGAAGGAAAACTCCATTTAACAAATTTCTGTTTAGCTTAGCTTGATCCACTGATCAAGAGTTCACATGAGCACAACAACAATACAGAGAGTATTCAGATCATATTGTGAGCATCCAGGAACAGCCAATGTTCTATTTGAGTGGATAGTAACCACTGCCAATTATTCAAATAAAATGGCTTATGACATAGGTGCTGCTCAGGCATTCAGGCAGCATGATTTTCTTTTGGCCCTACACAGATTTCCTGAATGATCTTAAATGGGTCAATAAATCCTTCTCTACCTCTGTTCCTCAACTACAAAATAAGATAATGCCTTTGTCTGCCTTGCCTTTATAGGCTATGTATGCTTCATGAGATGAGGACTGTTAGTGTGTATTCATACAATGTCTTCTTTATCAACCTGTCAGTGCCATTGTTGTACAAATACTGCTAATGAGGGAGCTATTCTTCTCAGAGTGATACTACTTTACAGGACAGAAATTGTCCAGCTCCCTCTGGTAATCACTCATTTTCCTCCCTGTCTGCTCATTTGTATGTAACTTTTTAAAATGAAGTAATTGCCAGTGGTCTCCCAGGTTCAATAGCTAATTCCTGGATGAAGATGATGAACGAGGCTGGTGAGGGGTCTGGAGAACAAGTCTTATGAGGAGCGGCTGAGGGAGCTGGGGTTGTTTAGCCTGGAGAAAAGGAGGCTGAGGGGAGACCTCAGCGCTCTCTACAACTACCTGAAAGGAGGTTGTAGCAAGGTGGGTGTCGGTCTCTTCTCCCAAGTAACTGGCGAAAGGACGAGAGGAAATGGCCTCAAGTTGCGCCAGGGGAGGTTTAGATTGGATGTGAGGAAAAAATTCTTTACTGAAAGAGTGGTTAAACATTGGAACAGGCTGCCCAGGGAAGTGGTTGAGTCACCATCCCTGGAGGTATTTAAAAGACGTGTAGATGAGGCGCTTATTTAGTGGGCATGGTGGTGTTGGGTTGACGGTTGGACTCGATGATCTTGGAGGTCTCTTCCAACCTTAATGATTCTATGATTCTATGATTCTAAGATGGATGGCATTTCCTGGCTTATTAATTATATGTGTCCCGCCTTCTGCTACTTTGTTCTTGTTGTGTATACTATCAATTAAAGTTTCCTCCCTGATTCAAAGGAATGACACTTTGCATTTCCAGGCTGACTCTCCCTCCAGAGAAGGACATGTTTGCCAGACTGACAGAAATAGGCAATTAATATCAATTGAGTTTAAATTGTTATCTTTCACCAATAAGAATTTGCCCTACCCATGGAATTTGTTGAAAAATCCATTCAGATTCATGCCAGCATAAATCACTGAGAGTTCTCCTCTAGTGAAATTTTGTTGTATGTGGGGAAGGTGTAGGAGTAGTATCACTCTCTGCTTGACTGACATGAAGTAGCTAGATATTGACCATAGTAGGTTTTGTATTAGAGTTCTGATCAACTGAGCAGAAAAATGGAGTGTAAATTTTATTTCAAATTTCTGTTTGTGTAGCTAACAAGAAATTTGAGGTGGTCAAATTTTATCTTAAAACTTTTCTAAGGAAAGAAAGAGAATCATAGGGTTACATCATTGTAAATATTATACAGAACACTGTTAAAAAAAAAAAAAAATCAATAAAATATCCATCCAACACTAACATTGCCTGATTTCTTCCCTTCTCTGCTCTTCTGAGCTTATCTGGCCACCCAGAAATTACTACAAGTGGTTCAGTCCTGATGTTCTTTAGAACAAACCATATAGCCATTGACAACATATTCAAAACTGACATTTGATAACACCGAAGCATTTTTTAGAGCTGCTAAAATAAACTACCATATTTATGAAACTTCCCCACTTTTTGTCTTTGAAATTTCATGAAGATAAAAATTTCAAAAAGCTGTGCAATTTTGGAAGCATGGTATATTTAAAAAACAAACAAACAAAAAAACAAACCAAAACTTAAATACCTGGTAATTTTAATGGGAACTTTTGAAAACTGAATTGTAAGTGTCTTATGAAGGGTGGTTAAATAAGTACAAATGCAGTAACCACAGTTAATAGCAAACAAATGAAAACATGCAGACATGTGATTGTCATTTCCTTAGCTACTGACTTATTTATTTGAATTTTAAGCTACTGTCATAAATAGCAATAAGACACATAGAAAAGTGAAAAGCGAATAGAAAGTTGAATTCTGGATGGGTAAAAGGGCATGTAGTAATACCACAGAGGCAATGTAGGTGAGCTTCAACATAATATCTTGTGAAAGTAGTCAGATGTCTATTTTGGAGAGGATAATCTGTCATTGCCTCTCAAACTTCTCTTGCCATCACAGCTGCCAGGTCAGGCTTTTGTGCAGACTATCTCTTCCATTTGCATTTATTGAGATAAGGCTTCAGCTGAAGTGCTGAGCAGGTCTCCAGGGCTTGATCATTTATCCATTGTTCTTAATTGCAAAGCTCCCAGGGGCTACAAAACTAAAGGTGCAGGCTGACTCTGAAAGAAGGTGCAGAAAAATTTCACAAGTACAAAAAATGAAATAGAATTCATTTGTTGTTATTTTTTGCTGAGGTTTTTAACTGGTCATTTGCTGGAAAACCATACAGAAACACTGCTGCTGAAGCTTTCCAAGATTAAAAAAAAAAAAGTCACTGGAATTATTTTCACCTGCTTTGTCAAGCATTCAGTGATGTACTAATTTTCTCATCATCACAAGGAAAGTTCACAAGACTTCAGTACCTTACAAGGCATGTTTGCATTTGAGCCTTTGAGAGATCAAGCTCTTACAGCAAAAGCCACTGTATAGAACAAATATCTGCTAAGAAATGCATATAGTTGTTGTTTGGGAGACACACTTGGACTTCTTTTCTTTTGTTACTCTTTACTGTTATCTCTATAATTAAATCCTAATTTTTCTGAAGATGATCTATTTCTTTTTCTTTATTTGCATATTTCAGTTGCTTTTTTAAAGTTGGAGTGAGATACTGTGCAAAACTAATTGGAATGGTCTTTCTGTTTGATTCTAGGATTACAATTTAATTTTCTATGAATGCAGTGCATATTCTGGGTACAATACCAAAAAGTCTGTGCTTCACTTAGCTAGGTAAGAAGAAAACACAATCTATGAGTTCTATACATGCCTGACTTCCCTGTCACTGATGACAGAGTGAATTCTGTTTGCTAAATTAGTCTAATAGGAACTTAACGGTGATGAAATATTTGTTCCTTTTAAAGTGGTCTGTAGCCTGACCCTGTTGCTCCAACCGAGCTGTTGCTCAGGTTCATAAAGAGCCCTGTGTAAGCTAGTGAAGCTCTGTATAGACCCAGAAACACCTGAATTGTTGCTAGGAAAGCTGAGAGCCTGGGATGTTGTGTTAGTTCTTGCAGGAAGTTCTTGGAGGTTTGGAGAAATATGCTTGGAAATGGATGCTGCTGAGTCCTTGCAGCAGAACACTGGATGTGCTTCCTTCTTCCCTCTGCTCATGACAGCTCAAATTCTGCTGTCTGCCTGGGCGCTGGGAGAGAGGGAGAGGCGGATTTTTGAAGTTATGTAAAGGCTAGGGGTAAAAATACAGGTAAATCTGTCCCCTCTGAACTAACAGAGGTGAAAACACTGGTAATGAATTGGCAGGTCTTTAATATTGTTGCTGAAGTTAGTGAAATTTTGTGAATGTGTCAGGTAATTGATAAATGTCTAGGTAGCCAGATGTGGTTTTGTTTTGCTCCAGCCTCAGAAATAACAAATGAAAGTCACTGTTTTGAGTCTCTGTAATATATAATAAATGCTAACAATCAGCACCAACTACATTTTTCTAACTAAATGAACAAAGGTGGTTTCGTGATGGAGCCACCATAATTGTACTTTTTTGTTTGTTTGTTAGTTCACAAAATTCTGTCATTTTCTGTTAATCTCTGGACAATTTGAGGGAAAGGCTTGGGGAAAATGTTTTTTGTTTTGATCTCTTATGGGTATTATTGACTTTTTTCTCAAAAGTATTGTTTCTTTCCCCCAGGATTTTAAAGGAACACGAAGATAAAGTGAAAGAGAAAACGATTGAACTTCAATCTGATATGAATAAAAAGTCTTGCTGTATCAGTCCATAAAATGCCGGGCATGTTTAGACAAGTCATACATTTATACAACACTACATGGCACCATTAGATTTGCTTTATCTTCCAAATATTTCTTCTGCTGTGTTCTGAGTGTAGGTGTAAGTGACCCTTAAAATCCTTGTATGCTCTGATCTTCACTTTTACAAATATTGTCTTTAGTTAATTGACAATGTATTTGGGGCAGTAACAGTCTTCTATTCTGTTTGATGCCTAACACTACTGAATCCTGCTTTGTGATCAGGCTTGTAGAAGCTGCCACATTATTAATAATAATAATAAGAAATAATTTTATAGGAAGAAAAGTACTTGGAATGTGAAGTAAATTCTTACTGGTGTGGATGACCTATCTTCTGAATACTTCTGTTTATTTCAGTGCTCTTTAGATCCTGATTTTGTGCTGACCTTTGTTACAGTTTTTTACATTGAAGTGAGTAGCTGTTGGTTGTTTAAAAGCAACACACCAGCAATTGCAAAGTATAAGGTGATATTTTAAAGCTTAGTATGAAATATACATGAACAAAGGATTGAAGAACTATGAAGATTTTCATAAGTAGCATTAACTCATTTATACTATGATTGTTGCATATAGGTCCTTGATAAGAAACTCTTCCTCCCACTTAGATGTGATGAATTAGGTATGTTTAGACAGGTCACTGAGATACCGTACAGGCTTGCCTGAGCTGTTGCCAAATAGCCAAATGTTTCCATGGTGAGGTAGTGCTATGCCATTATCTTAGCTTCCAGAAACAGAAAAGTCATGGTAGTTGCAGTGCTTTACTCTGGCTAGTTAGCATTGCACTCAGTGCAAATCAGCCTGTGCTCTTCACTATAGTTGACATGGCTGCGTTGCTTTGTGTTGCAGAGCTTGCTCTGAACCTCTGTTTGGCTATGGTGTCCTATAGAAGTCCCAAAGCAATCTGTGGCCAACTTGAACATTCAAATCAATTCACTGTCATTAGTGCTGGTCGAAAACACATACCTACATAGGAAGCTCATTTCACTGGTGTAGTTGGTTGTAGTACAAAGCATACTATGGCCAACGGAACAGCTCTTTGTCTCCAAAAGCCTGTCACAGAAAGTTTCATGCCAGATGATACATGACTGATTTTTCAAAAGCATCTGCCACATAGCATTTCCTTTTGGTTTAACCAGCACTGAGATGTAGTGTTTGAGAAATCAAACCCACAGGAACATGTTTTAGAAAATCACGGCGCACCCTGGAGCGTAAGAAACCCAAATGTCATAATTACTTTTGGAAGCCTTTGTAGAATATAAATGAAAATAAGAAACTTGAGACTGGGTCACCCAGCCAGCACATGACCAACAATTATTGCTGTGGTATTTGTCTTCACTGCATCCAGCTATTGTGGTAAGCAGTCAAGAATGATTATTCATGATGGTGAGCTTTTTGGGAAAGTGGAAACCATGGCATAATTTATTTCATTAAAATATCAAGCAAAACTGTAGATTTTATTATAAGAGACTGTTACAGACATGTTTTCAATCCATCTTCTAAATGTTTAAAAAAAGTTATTTTTCATTTGAATAATGAATCAATTTGAAACTAAAGATGAAAGTTAAGCACTAACTCAATAAGTAACTCCATTTTGGGATAAAAACTTTGTCAGTAATTAATTGTGCTCTTGGGATTTTGGTCTGATCAAAGGTGTTTATCTAGTGCCAAGAACTATATGATAGAGGTTTGCAAACTCTCCCCTACAGCGATTCCTATAGCCACACCAGCACTCAAATGCCCTTTCTTATGAGTTGGGATCCAAACATGACCTCCTTCCCTATCAAGTAGAATTGATAGGATTTTCCTTCTATCAGGAATGATGGATGGACCAAGTAGCCCAGGATGAGCTGATGCTTAGGGGTTTTTCCCTTGTTGATTCCCGAGAACTTGCTCATCCAAATGAAAAAAAAAAGTCCCCTTGCTTCCAGTGAGGTGCTTAAGAACCCCTAAAAACCAAAAGGAGCAAAACGAGCATCTATTAATGAAAATCAGTAGGCTTTCTTCCCAGGGTTGATTCTTGAAGTCCCTTACTGGTTGTGGAAGGATGAGTCACGTTATCAACTGTTACATGTTATCCATCATGGAAATAATCTCAGAATTGAATCACCTGTGTTCAGTCCTGGCTGGAGTTGAACTAATGGAAACCGCTAATTTAAACCTCAACAAAAACAAATGTTTATCCCAATTTCAATTAGGGAAGAAGTATCAATTTAAATGTTAGCTTTGCTAATTGACTTTGAATGATCTGTTCCCCTGCAGTATGGTGTTTCCTACCCCATGAATATCAGAACTGGCAATATTTCTTCCAACCTCTGTGAGCCTCAGGAAGACAATTTGAAGGCTTAATTTTAGCTTTATTACCACTGACTCTAGCCCCAAAAACCTCCCAATTCAGGTCCTTAATGTTTTGTTCCTTGAAGTTAGTCTTGATTTTGGAGGAAAGTGACATGTGAGGTGGAGCTTCTTTATGTGACTTCTACAGGATCATTTTTATTTGGACATCTTTTAGTGTGCACTGAGACCCTGCTAGCAGGATATACACAACTTAAGGGTAGACAATGCTAAGGAGCAGCTGAATCCTGGGACGAAGAGGATTTATTTTTCTTCATCTACTAGAGCCAAATCTGGTGCGGTCTAAGACCCAGGAGGTGTCTCCCATCTCAGACTCATAGCTGTGGCTGCTGCTGTTCCTTTTTGCAAGTCCAGCCAAAACCCAAGCTGAGTACATGTTGCAGTGGTGCAGATGCACAACATTAATGTCATCAGCCACACAGACAACACAGAGAGAAGTGTCTTCACTGCTTGTCATCCACATCCACACAAACAGCATTCTCATAAATATGAACTCAGCCCAATCCTTCTCTTCCTTTCCAACTGATCAAGATTGAAGTTTGCTGATGAAAATATACACGTACACAACTCCTATGACTTGCAGTGCTCTCTCTCCCCCTCTGCCCTCCCTTTCTCCCCAGGATCATGCAGAAATTTGATAGAAATAAGATTTAATAAAAAGACTGGATAACCTGCAGTTATGGGGTGCAGGGCTCAGATAAACTCTGACCAGCAGCTTGCTTGCATACAACTGGCCCCTTTTATTCTACCTTCTCTTGATTTTTTCCCATGCTTGTTCTTCCTCCATCCACCTTGACCCCTCCCTTTCTCTGCCCTTCATATCCCAAAGAAACAACTTGCTCCTAGTTGCTTTTTCCCCATTAGTCCCAGTTTTGCTACATCTGTACCCACACACATTTTATATTTCTTCTACCATTACCTAGGTCACCTTGGCTTTACATAACATTATTGATATAGTTACTTAGGTGCTGCTGGCCTTGCAAGTTTCCGTTCCCAAAAAAGTCCCTACTATTCCCTTCCAGTTATCTGTGAAGTTAGTCATGAAGTTACCATATAACTCCCCCTTAACCACCTGTGAAGTCCAGCCATTGCTCACAGTGCTACCTGTAACAATTATCAGCTTCTCACTCTGTTATGTTCAGAGTTTCTCGTGTCATGTCCAGAGTGTCTCATGGTCTGTTCGGTTAGCTAAACCTCAGGCCAGGTCTTAGTCATCTGTCTGCACACCTTAACAAACAGCAATTATTTGTTGATTAATGCTCACAGAAGATACGTATGACTAACATGCTACAAGGCTCTACTTCTGGACAGATTCTACTGGCCAGGTGGTCATCAAACTGGTGTGGGAATTGTCAGCTTCCAGCGTTCCTTGATGCTAACTGATCCTTTGTGTTGCTGGGTTGCTGTCTTCTGACTCTCCACCAGGGTTTTATACCTCCTGTCAGTACTTTTATCAGTTCCATCAGAAAGCTAATACTGGCTTAATAGCAATGAAGCTTTCTTTTTCTTCCCCCCGCCCCCCCCAAGTTTTGAATTAGCTTTAGCTTGCTCATAGCCCTCCCTCCCCTCCCCCCAAAAGCTTTTTGGTAAAGATAAGCCAAGATCATGATGCAGCTATGCATCATGAAACTGGAAGTCTTGAAGTCATGAAGTCTTCTCTTGTGGGTTATGTAGAGATTTCTGGAGATGTAGATGATGTCTTTGTACTGAAAGAGAAATTAATCAAAAGGTAGTAGGCAGGGGAATACCGAGCAGAAGTGTATTTCACCTATTCCTATTATGCTCTGAGAGCACAAAAATGTCTTCATTTAGAAGTGACTAAAATGCTGATACAGAAATCTTTGAATACAAGTATCTGCAATGCTACAAAACATTTTAGCTATGGAATGTTGTTTTGTTTCTTCTGTCAGACTCTTCCTAATAGTCTTTGGACAAAATTTTTAGCTGGTGTAAGTTCGGTGACTGTAGTATCTTCTTTTAGGGATGTATATTACTCTTGAAAATTTCCCTTTACTAGAATGAAAAGTACCGACAATAGTAAATGAGAAATTCTGCTGAAAAATTGCTTCTTACACTCAGCAGGCTTCGTCATTCTCTCAAGTTCACTGATGTAACTCCTTGACTCAGTAATGGTCCTTCTGATGCCACCCTGTATACAGTAAATCAGCTCACAAGCAGTGCACACCCATGTAAACTCTTTGAGAGGATGATCAGTTGGTAGGAGAAAGTGGGAGAAATTAATCTTCTCAGCCTGGTCAGGTACCCAATACTGACAGATCTTTGGGTATCACACACATGACAAAGCCCATTTGCATGGGTATAACACAATGCTCCCAGCCCTTTGGAATGAGCATATGTTATAGGCTGTAAGTAGCAGTGGGCTGCAGTTGTGACCTGCGGGGGGGGGAGATCATGAACTACTGTGTGCCAGTCCAAACTGGTTCCAGATGCAAGCCAAGCAACAGTAGAAAAAACCATGGCACACTATAACCTTACTCAGAGAAGTGTACAGCACCTCCCCACATAACATAAGGAGTAATCTGCAGCTGTTAAGGTGGGGACATGCCACACAAAAAGAATGTGCGAGGAACACACCATGTTGAAGAAAGTTTGCTCCTGAAAG